AAGGCCTCTGGGCAACTTCTAGTACATAACAACAGAATGAAACACAAAGATGCCGAATACTGGAGAATAGCGGTACACTGTTAGTGTGTAAGAATCAGGGACAGTGGCAATGTTCAATCTGCCGAACTTCGTTGATGAGCATCCTGAATCTACCAGTCCTCTTGTGCCAAACAGCCCTTAGCCGTGTGATGCTTGAGGTTAATGTTCATGGTTGCACAATGCAGGAAGATAATATTGGTGTCATTATGTTATTCGTTCCTTTTCCATATGCAACTGTTGGTGTTGAGTGATCCTTGTATCCACTTCTGAGCGTTTGCTGCATAGTGCCTTTTCTGGCCGCATTTGCCTTCTGTTTTATATCGGAAGCAAGTTTTGCCAGCTTCACGCAGGAGCAGTGTTTTCACATGAAGTTTCACTGCAGCTGTTGACTTTCCATGGCATAGCTAGAAATTCAGGGAACACTTTCTTGGAGGAACTTGAAGTTGGTGTTGCGTGAAGGTCTGGAACCTGTACAAGAAAAGAGAGGTGAGCGCTTCTGTGCTTTCAGCTCTTCTCTTGTCCAAGACCCACATAGCATTTTCTGAGAAGGTGGACCTTATTTGCCGCCATGTTATAGGCAAGAGAAAGGATAGTCTTGGCTACCCCATGGTTAGTTGGTGGCAAGTTTGAAAGATGTCTCTAAAGAAGCTGATACCAGCCACACACCTAAAACACATAGATGGATGGATGGATGGACGGATGGACAGACGGATGCTTTGCACACTAGACTCAACTTTCTGCTTCCCGGGCTATGTATTTCTACTCACGGTGACATTTGTGTTCTATAAGGAGACAGGGTGAGAAGTTGTTAGATCACTGAACTAAACAACTAGATGGTTGTGACGTCCTCCTTAATGGGGAGACTGTTTTTCCTTTAAAACACACTCTGTTCACATAAACTTGGTAGATTACTGCTGCCACCAGGAATTAAAAATTGCAAATCTCTCTATTATGGTAGAATGACCCTGTGTCTGGGCACTTCAGAGAACTATGTGGCCCTGAGGAAGGACTGTTCTGACTGCTGGGATAAGTTTAAACAAATAACGATTTATTTATAAAAGAACAAAATAGGTTTCTGGGTATTTTTGAACTGTTGTTGAAGACAGGAACTTATAAATATAACTGATAAAGCTGGGCATCACACCCTGTCTCTCAAAACACCAAAACTCAACTCTGACAGCCTTAGCCACACAGACTAAACTCTGCCTCTCTTAGCCACACAGGCTAAAAATAACCACACTCCATACTCGTCTCCCCCCAAACCCCCCCCCCCACAGAATCACCTAAGAGACACCTCTCTTCGCACACTCCCAGTCATCAGCCAATCACATCACACTCATCCTTCTCCTTACATTACTGCAGTCAAACTAAACATTTAAAGAAACACACACACCAAAACATGAAATCGTTACAGTGGTAAACTGAGCGATTGAGGCGGGAAGAAAAGTGGTGATGGGCCATACTGGAGACATGGCATGCAGTCATGGTGTTCCAGCCCAGGCTGCAGGAGTTGCCTTCGTCCTGCGGATCGTTATTATGTCAGCGAAGAGGTGCGTGCGAGCTTGTGGGATTGTTCCTCCCTGTGGCTTATACTTCAGTTTGATGCTTGATCCCAGTGAAGTGAAGGGGCATGTCGTGTTAGGAAACAGAAGTTGCTACATGTAGAGAGTGATGGTTTGTGTTGCAGAAGGGTGGGGTGGGGGGGTTAGAGAACTTGAACAACAAGAATAGCTCCTGGATCCTGGTTGAGGGCAAGTTCGAGTTAGGAATGACTGTCGACGGGAGCCGTGGAGATGAGCAGATGCTGACTGCAGAACGTGAGAAGGTCGTGGTCGCTAGAACCGGAGGCAGCAGGCACCTCCAAATGTCATTGTGGCATATCTTTCTCTTGGGTTCTCATGAGGTATATGGAGCAGGTTTGGGATTTTTGTGTCAGGAGACTAAATTATGAATCACCCCTTCCCTGGAAGCTTCCTGGAGCAATATAGTCTGTTAGTTTTTCCTTCCAAAGATAGGAAGAAGTCCTTTCTCGCAACCGATAGAACCAACCTGATTGCTGAACACTATTCTGAGCCGTTTACCACTTGCAGCGCTCCAGCCGGGCGTCAGGGCTGTGTTCCGGTTCCGCTGTTCTTCTGCCAAACCGGCTTCCGGGTTTGGAGTCAGATTGGTTTTGACTTCCCGCTGAGGAGATTCACGGCCCCCGTACCTTGCCTAACTGATCCCATTAGCCGCAGGGCCTCGTTAGCCTTGACCAATTGAGTTTGAAGCAGCCCGAGTGCCGAGACGGGGCCTGTTTGAGCATTTTTCTTTCTTCCCCAAGCAGCCAACACCGGGATTGTCAACCATACCCATTCCCGGATGGGATCCATCATGAGCACGGGGATTGTCCAAGGTAAACCTGCCCCGGCCTGGCCCCACTTGCAGCGAGGGGGAGAGGAGTTTGTGTGCATGGCTGGCTGTGGTGGTCGCAGGCACCTCGCTGGGATGGAGGAAGGAATGTCAATTTTTGGGGCTGATGGTGTCCTAGGAGCCGAAATGAAAGTTGAAATTCCAAAAAAATATATAAAATAAATGCGAGTGTTGCAAGTGCTGAGTATCTGTGACAAGCAACGCTCCCTCTAAGCTGTGGAGTCTTGTGAGCAAAAATTCTTCTTTGTGAGTGAGTGGCATTAAAGTTGTGAGTGAGCCATTTGGCGACTGCATAAGCGCGTCTGCTCTGGAGCCCTCCTTCCTGAGCGGAGACAAAAGTGTGTGAGTTGGAGGCTAAAAAACTGTGAGCTAGCTCACACTAACTCAGCTTAGAGGGAACACCTGGTGGCAAGCAACGCTTTTGGTATTTAAAAAAAAATCAGTTTGTATCATGATTTGGCAGTGCCCTTTTAGCAGCTGAACATGGGTCATCTTAGTGCGGCAGGAGCTTTCTCAGGCAAGAGCCCAGAGTGCCTGTGATGCATGGAGCGGGCGGAGGAGGGGGTGCAGTGTCTCCCCCACGTGCCTCTCCCACCAGCTCCTCAGCCGCCTCCAGGCATCCAGAAATGGAAGAGGCGCTTGCCTAGGAGCTCCTTCTGCAAAAAGATTAAGGCCTTGGGAGCCAATGTACTTCGTCCCTCTTGAATTTTTTTAACTGTTACAGATATATGCATGAATAATAAAGTTGACATAGAAATTCATGGTCGAAATGTTATTTATTATTTATTTTATTTATTCATTCATTCAACGTATGGTTCGCCCTCCCCGCCAAAGCAGGCTCAGGGTGCCTGCAGATAGGCTATCCAAATACGAAGGAGTTTTTTTTAATTCTGCAAATTAAATGAAAAAAAATTAGCTCCTCGTCAGAACCGTTTGCCAAAAAAAGAGTAGATGGTGAGGATTCTCTGCTGGAAAGTTCCACCGGTGGTAGGAAACTGATGGCTCTTCTCTCCTCCGCAGGCTCATCCAGCGGCCAGGGTGGAGGAACGTCGAGCTCCCACTATCCCGTCAACAGTCAGTTCACGATGGGGGGCCCGGCGATCTCGATGGCCTCGCCCATGTCCATCACCACCAACACAATGCATTACGGGAGCTAAGAGACCCTCACCCCGATCTCTGAACTCACAGCACCAGGAAACCAAAATGAAGAAGAAACGTCTAATCTCCCTGCCCGTCTGCCTGCTGCACCTCAACAGTTTGGCAATCACCTCTCCGGATATCTGTTCTCTCACCCGTCTCCCATTAGGCTTGCCAGAGATGCCCTTACCCTTGTACGATAGAAGACACCCCCAGTGGCCCTTTGATAGTGGACTTGTACACTTTTTAAAAATGAAACTTGGAAACTTCGACATGCTCGACCATGACTTTTTAAGTCCCTGTGCTCGCTGTGTCTTTAATGACCAGTCACGTCGTGAACGGAACAAGCCTTCGGCCTTCGATGCCCGATCGATCGGCTGTAGGCACAGGTTGTAGGAGCGGAACTGCAGCAGGGCCTTTGGCAGTATTTTGAGCAGCTGAAACATGGCAACTTGAGCCTTTAGCATTGCGCCCAGCATTTCGAAAGACTGGGGGTGGCAGCTAGCTGTAGAACGGGCACAGGTGAACAAACGTCCAGCGGCACGCCCTTGATTTCTTACCCGCCCCAGCTCCTGGGCTAGTGTTTACTGCTTTAATGAGACTTAGGAAGAGTCACTCCCGTAGCGGGGAAAAGGCCTTCCCAGCTGTATGGTGAGGTTCTCACTGCTGTAGGTCTTGAGTCTTTGGAAATGCGTCCAAGGGGAGGCGCATCATTGCGGCGCAAGCATCATGTCAGCAGGTCTGATCAATGTTTGTCTCTGAGGAAACCTTGCTGTAGCATCAAAAGGATAAAAAAAAAAATTAAGAACACGAATGTACCAAAAAAAAAAAAAAAGGTTGCTGGCTGAAAGTGGAATGGATGGTGTCTTGGTTTCCTGTTGCTCATCTGGACGGGTTGCTCAGTGGTGGCTCCCCCTATCATCTGATGTGTGTCGTCCAGGCTGTTCCAGCTGCTGCCTCTGGCCCCTCCACCCTCACCAGAGCAGGCAGCGGATACCGGGTAGCTGATGACATAGACTGACTTTGCCCCCCGCACTAGCCAGCAGGGACTCTAGCATAGATTGTTCTGGCATCTGTTATGGAGAAGCCCCCCCCCCCTTCCTTTGTAGTCTTTGTACGTGTAACCTGTAGTCCTTCACAGTATTTCTTTTCTTTTTTTTCTCCCCTTTTCAAGGGCCACCAGCTGGCATTTTTGAAAGGACTTGGCAGGGACCCCCTTTCGATGTAGAGCGGAAAGTGCGGTTTACTTTGGCGGTTTCTTTTGCCTCCCAGCGTCTGGGCTCCCAGGGATGATTTGTGGGGAAGAGGGAGGGGACGTTTACACAAAATCTCCATCAGCGGCTGAATTGTGTGGGGTCTGCGCAGAGCCGATTGTGAAGTCTTGGATGATCAATGATTTTGTGACTGTTAAAATAAAACTTGGGAGGGTTTTGAAGCTTTGTTTGCAGTGCCTGGTTCCCCTCCCCCCCATCCAAGGTTTTGGATTCAAACACCCAGAGAGCCCTCGCTTTCTTCTGAGCTCAGCCCTGCCCTTCTTTACAAGCCAAGCCTCTGTGCAACAGTGCCCTAGAAAAGACCCTCTTGCCTCAGGCAGTCGCTGTTTTTGCTCCCAATTTGGTGAAGTGGTTGGGAGCGTGGACTCTAATCTGAGAGAACCGGGTTTGATTCCCCACTTCTCCATGTGCAGCTGCTGGTGTGACCTTGGGTCAGTCACAAGTTATTATCAGAGCTGTTCTCTCAAGAGCAGTTTTCAAAAGAACTCTCTCAGCCCCACCTACCTCACAGGGTGTCTGTTATGGGGAGGGTTAGTGTGGCGTCCTGCTTATTAGGGAGACGGTTTCTCCTTTAAACCACACTCTGTGTACATGAACTTAGTAGATTTCCGCTGCCACCAGGAATTAAAAATTCTAAATCTCTCTATTTTGGTAGAATGACCCAGTGTCTGGGCACTTCAGAGGACTATGTGGCCCTGAGGGAGGACTGTTCTGATTGTTGGGATAAGTTTAAACAAATAATGATTTATTTATAAAAGAACAAAATGGGTTTCTGGGTATTTTTGAACTGTTGAAGAAAGAAAATATAACTGACAAGCTTGGTGTCACACACAGTCTCTCATACACCAAAACATAACTCTGACAGGCTTATCTCTCTCTCTCTTATATAGCCACACAGGCTAAACTCTCTTGCTCATACAGCCACACAGGCCAAACTTTCTTGCTCATATAGCCACACAGGCTAAACTCCAACTGCTTCCTCTGTCATACAGACTCTCACAAAAACTCTCCACACTCGTCTCTTCAAGAACACAGAATCCCCTCAGAGACATCTCTCCTCCCACACTCTGTCATCAGCCAATCACATCGCACTTGTCTCCCTCTCCTTACTGCAGTCAAACTAAACATTTAAAGAAACACACACTCCAAAACAAGAGATCATTACAGAAAGGGATTGTAAGCCACTCTGAGTCTCCTTCAGATAGTGAAGGGTGGGGTATAAATCCAATCTCCTCCTCCTCCTCTTCAGTGATATATATTATTTCTTTACTTCATATATGTAGCCCACCTTTTCCCCCCAGGGGTAGCCAAAGCAGTTTACATTGTTCACCTCTCTTCTATATGTTGAGGAGTCCCTAGCAACTGTTGGACACAACAGTTTAGACATATTTTTTTAATTTCCAGAGCATCGAATCCCCCCAAGGCAGAAGCTAAGGGCACCGCAATGAGGACTGAGGGTTGTCAGGTCTGAGTAGGGAAATACCTGAAGGTTTTGGGGGTGGAGCCTGAGGGGGCGGGGTTTGGGGAGGGGAGGGGCCTCAGCAGGGTACAATGCCACGGCGTCCACCCTCCAAAGTAGTCGTTTTCTCCAGGGGAACCGATCTCCAAGTCTGTGATAGTGGGAGATCTCCAGGCACCACCTAGAGACTGACAACCCCCAGTTTGGTGTAGTGGTTAGGAGCGCAGACTCTAATCTGGGAGAACTTGGGTTTGATTCCTCCTCCATGTGCGGCTGCTTGTGTGACCTTGGGTCAGTCACAAGTTTGCTCACAGCTGTTCTCTCAAGAGCAGTCCTCGAGAGAGCTCTCTCAGCCCCACCTACTTCACAGGGTGTCTGTTGTAGGGAGGGGAAGGGAGAGGAGATGGTAAGCGAAGGGCAGGGTATAAATCCAATCTCTTTTTCTTCTTTTCTTCTCCCTCTGCCCGCTCTTCTCCGGGGCTTCCTGTGGAACTTCCTGCTCCAGGAAGCCCTTCAGAGTTCCGCCAGCAGGCAAGCACACAGACTGCCTTGTTCTTTTTCCTTTCGAGTTCCGGCAAGATTCTGTCGTCCCCTCCTGGGGAAAGAGGCTGGGCAGCTCGGATGAAGGAAAGCGATCAGAGCTGTCGTACAAAGTTAGAGTCCAGCAGCACCTTTAAGACCAACAACGTTTTATTCAAGGTGGGAGCTTTCATGTGCAGAGCACACTTCGTCAGGCAATGAAATTGAATTAGAGATCATACTTGTATATTATAGAGGGTAGCTTGTTAAATTAGCATGCAAAATAGTGAAGATGTTTTTAACAGATAAAAAGAATGACAAGCTGGGTTTCTGGTTATCTATTTGGGTTCATCTGGGGGGGGAAACAACATAAGTAATAAATATGTCAGAACTGGAGATTAGTGTACCGTAAATTGTGAGAATTCAGTTCGAGACCCGAGTGCCGCTGATACAGTGAGCTCCCGTCTCTGGCCCCAGCTCCTGCCAACCTTGCAACTCGAAAGCAAGAAATTGCAAGTAGATAAATAGGTACCACTTTGGCGGGAAGGTACTTGTTCCATGCGCATCGGCATCTAGTCATGTCGGCCACATGACCACAGAAGCGTCTTCGGACAGCGCTGACTCTGGCTTGGAAATGGAGATGAGCACAGCCCCCTAGAGTCGGATACGACTAGCTCTCAAGCAAGGGAAACCTTTACATTCATCTCCTTTCTAGCAGGGAGGCAAACTTTAATGCATCTTGGCGGTGTATTTTTCTCGTCCCCAGAATAGAGAATTACATTTAAATCTACCATTCCAAATTACATTACGTGTTCAATTATATTCTTAATTGTTAAGAGTAGTAAACTGAGGGGGGGGTTTAAGTAACATTTTGCTTCACTAAACTGACGGAATCCTTTTCCATTTCATCGTCAGATGCAGTGTGCTCTGCACATGAAAGTTCACACCTTGAATAAAACCGTTGATCTTCAAGGTGCCCCACCGGACTCTAACTTTGTTCTGTTGCTTCAGACCAACACGGCTGTCCACGTTGATTGGTCAGAGCTGTCAGTCTTGTCTTGTTGAGAAGGGTGGGGAAATCGCCAGTTTGCTGTCAGAAGGCTGGTCGTTTATTTGAATCAGCTTTACACAGACAGCGCAATTAAAGGGGCTGAATTACACCAGCAACCCTGATCACTGTCAATCCAAGAGTTTCTCTGCAAGGAAAGTTGATAGATTTTTAAAAAATTATTCCTTTCTTTAAAAAAGGGGGGGGGAGTAGAAACCCAGACACTAATTTTTTAGAAGAGAAAACAAAAATCCATACTGAGTGGAAATAAAAATACAACGACGGTAGTGGCAGCTCTACACATCAGCTTCTATAAAAGGTTTCCAGATAGCTAAAAAAATACATCTGGATGCAGTTGTCCTCTATAAGCCCTGCATTCAAATATCGATAAAGTTGTAAGGTCCTCGATTCACTGTTGGGCATTTATCTCTCCGGCGTTGCGACACAACGTTCAACTGTAGAAATGGCACGGAGGGTCCATGTTCATTGACCATCGGTTAGCTTCCAAGTTTGTGGGGGAGGTGCCTTTACAGATGTTAGTCCCCCTGCCATTAGCTTAGGATCTACACACCCCTGCCTAGTGTGTCTGTTCAACCTATCAGAATCCTACCGTTAGCAAAAAGTTGGCACAACAGTCACTTTTTTAAAAAAGTGTGTTTGGTTACACAGAGAGAAGTGCACTACAGAACATTTTAGAAGGGCAGTACATTCAAGTGGCCATTCCCAAGCACTTCCTCCTCCCAATTTGCACCACTTCCATTCTTTGCCAGGCCAAGGATATCGCCACAAACCAAATCATAACAAAAGATGGGAGGACAACATGAAAAGTTGGGAAATTATGGAAGGTGACGTTTTGGCACCAAGTTGTGATCTGGATTCTCCGTAGTGCAGACAAAGTACAGACTAGTTTGCCCTAGCTTGGATGCTGTTCTGGTGCTTTAAAACGAAACCCACCCGCTTTATCCAATCCCATGCCTCATCTATATCACTGCCACAAGGCCTCTCCTTATATGAGGGAGCCACAGGCAGTTCGAGAGCAATGCTCCCTCTAAGCTGTGGAGTCTTGTGAGCACAAATCCTACTTTGTGAGCTACTGGCATTAAAGTTGTAAGCAAGCGATTTGGCTGCTGCATAAATTAGTTTGCTCTGGAGCCCTCCTTCCTGAGCGGAGACAAAAAGATGTGAGCCGGAGGCTAAAAAACTGTGGGCTAGCTCACCCTAACTCAGCTTAGAGGGAACACTGTGCCAATGTTCCCTCTAAGCTATGGAGTCTTCTGAGCAAAAATTCTACTTTGTGAGCTGCTGGCATTAAAGCTCTGAGCGAGCAATTTGGCTGCTGCATAAATTCGTTTGCTCTGGAGCCCTCCTTCCTGAGTGAAGACAAAAAGGTGTGAGCCGGAGGCTAAAAAACTGTGGGCTAGCTCACCCTAACTCAGAGGGAACACTAGTTGTAGCCCTCCCAACAGCTCCTGACGATCTGAAGAGGCATTTTGACACCTTTTCAGGATGGGCTCCTTTCCTGGTCATAGAATCATAGAGTTGGAAGGGACCTCCAGGGTCATCTTTTCGATTACACAGAAGGGAGTATGCCACAGGACATTTCAGAGGGGCAATGCAACCAGGGGCTGTCGGGGCATTGCCAATCAAGCGGCCATCCCAATAACATCTTGCCTGTGTTAGCCAAACTGCCTTATCTATGACAGTGGCAAACTAAATTTAACATGAGTCCTTGCCAAAGTTTACGGAAGTCTGATCCTCTGGGCTGGATTGCTGAAGCATGAAAGACTAGATGAGGGTGTGCTGGTTAATGTCTGGAAGAAGCAGAAGAGCCTGTTTGGTGTAGTGGTGAGGAGCATGGACTCTAATCTGGGAGAACTGAGTTTGATTCCCCACTCCTCCATGTGCAGCTGCTGGTGTGACCTTGGGTCAGTTACAGGTTCTTTCAGAGCTGTTCTCTCAAGGGCCGTTCTCTAGAGAGCTCTCAGCCCCACCTACCTCACCTGGTGTCTGTTGTGGGGAGAGGAAGGGAAAGGAGTTTGTAAGCTGCTCTGAGACTCACCTGGGTAGTGAAGGGCAAGGGGATAAATCCAGTCTCTCCTTCGTCTCTCAAGAGCAGTCCTTGAAAGAGCTCTCTCAGCCCCGCCTGCCTCACAGGGTGCCTGTTGTGGGGAGGGGAAGGGAAAGGAGTTTGTAAGCTGATCTGAGACACCTTCGGGTAGTGAAGGGCGGGGTATAAATCCAATCTCCTCTTCTCTCAAGAGCAGTCCTCG